CCCCCGATTTGATCATTTGGGCTCGAAGCAGATGGGAGTTCCAGGGAGGGACAGGGTTAAAACTGATGTCGGCTCCCTCTGCGACTGCGTTGGGGATCGTCCTCTTCGTCTTCATCGCTGCTTTGACTGCAACGCCTTCCACGATATAACTTGTCTCTTGCTGGCTGAATGCAGAGTGCAAGGCCACAGGATACAAACTGTGGAGGAGTCAGCTGACGACCCCACCCAGAGCAGACACCTCAAAGTTCCTGATGGTCTCAGCAGCGGAGTTCCAGCAGTTTCCACCATTGGCCACCACAGTGCCGCCTCAGAAAGCCCAAAGGTGGAACCAATCAGCTACCACTGCGACTCAGCTAAGGTGGACCCCCGGCTCCTGTGTCACACCTGTAAGGTTTTCCACGGCAGCCAGTGCGTCCAGGGGAAACTCTGCCGAACATCGCATAATACCATCCCGCTGGGGACTTGCTACTGTGGGAAGTTCTGCAACAGGAAGCCCTTGGTTCTGTGCCATTACTGTGGAAATGAGTACTGCAGCCAGTGTTGGTACAAAAATCCTGTTACATGCAGCTGCGGCCAAACCTTCGACCTATCCACATCTGTTTGATTACTTTCTGAGAAGTTTTGCACTAATGAGACACATTGAACTGAATCAGTGCCTTAAATGTGAATGTTGCCTCTTTTTGTTTCACTGTTACCTAGATGTTGCCATGTACTAATCGTAATTCCTCTTTTTGGAAGGATGGGGGATGTCGGGGTCAGCAGCAGACTTCTGGGTCACTCCACTGTAGCTTAAGGCACAGCCGTCTGTGCTTCTGTTTGTTGTTTGCACATCGTCTGGAGTAAAAAGGGTGCTCTCACTGTTTGGGGCGTGTTTTATCTTTCTGTTTCACAACTATTAGATGCTTCTAATCCTAAAACAATTGTTAAACCCTCACTTAGTGACTTACAACCTTCATAAAATATTTTCATGACTTTTGTGAATATATGTTGACTTATAACTTTGAGGATGGCAGTATCTCTGCCACGCAAAAGAACTTCAGATTGTTTTATGGCATACATCACTTCCCCCTTTCCCGTTCGTTTTAAAGACTGAAGTCCATGCAACTAAATTTCCCTTAGATTGTATATTTGCACAAATTGTGCAGGGCTGATATTCAGAATCTGATGGGTCAGGTGAGGTGGATGTTAGGGGACAGGAATACTGTAAAAGAAACAATGTAAAAATCATAAACATTTCTTATTTTAAACATCGTCATATCACGTTGTTTCGCCACAAGATTCATAACTTCAACTTCTATTCCACAGCCACAGGAAACAGAAATGTAGTTCAATCCACCTGCAGGTTAACGGGATCAGGATTTTATCACGCTATGGTCTTCACCATGTTGATCCTCATGGGAATGCTAATTCTCACAAAACAATACAGCTTTTATCCACCGAAGGGAGACAAAATCTACCAAACTGAAAGTCCTGTAGAACTGCTTTAAAAATGTAAGAATCTGAGGAAAAATGTTTTATCATTTATTTTATTTAAGGAAAAGACTCTAAACCAACCAGAAGTGCATCTTCTTTTCCAACACACCTGTTACAGGGTTTCCGCAGGTCATTAAAAATCATTAAATTATTATTTTTTAAATTAAGGCCTTAATTGGCATTACATTTCTT